GTGGAATCTTTACCAATTATTGGATGGATTTATACAAGGATGGCAAGGAAACTCAATGGGATGGTGACTGGAGGTGTAGTTCTAGCTGTTCAAGAATTAAAGCATGCTTGGAAAGAATGGCATGTTTAACATAACATAATTAATGTAAAATTTGGGTAGTTATTAATTAATTTATAGTTTTTTTTGAAAATGTATATCATTATTTTGTTTAAGTAATACATATCTTATTACGTCATGGAATTCTATGCATACATTAAATGCCAATTGCAAAGAAATTTTTTTTTCAGTAAAATAAAAAAAAAATCCCCAAACAAATCTGTGCGGTTAGCCCATACATAAAGAGAATATAAAGAGATCCTTTCAATCCTTTGGGATGAATTTAGTCGTTCCCACTGTATAAGATAACGATCACCTTGTATGTTAACTGCGCGAAATCTTTAAGCAATGTACTTGTTAAGCTTTCTTTAAAAATTACATCTAAAAAAAATCATTCAAATCCTTTGAATGGTCGAGAGTGCATATATCTCTCTCTCTATTTAAATTCAAAGCATATGTGGCGGCAGTCAATAGAAAAGGGAGAAATCTAAATTTTGATGATTTTTATCTATTGGCCCACTTGACCGATCACAGTCATGTGCTCAAAATTAGTTTATTTCCCCCTTTTTTACTGACGCCCTCCCATATTAATGTATGCCTATAAATTTAAACACCTTCATGGAACGGAACTTAGGAATTTAATTGACAGTATATGCTATAAACTTAAAATATATTAATTATATACTAATTTTTGATGTAATTATTTTTTTTGTCTCAAATAAAATGGAAAATTGCCGGCTAAATCAACATTCGGTCCGCCCTTGATTATAATAGACGCCCCCGCACATGATTTATTACGCGTCATATATGTATATCAGCTAACCTGTTTCATTTCAAGTCCAAAGGAAAAGATAAAGAAAAAAAAAAAGTCGTATTGCGTTGCATACTCCTTTTATTCCTAAACGCGAATTTTTTATCGTCAAAAACATCCGATTGTTATATCACATGATTTGTTAAATAAAAGAACAGATTTTAAAAAAAAAATAGCTTGACTGAACCCATTGTAACAAAATGTGAGATGAAACATTCTGCCTTTATAAAGTAGAAAGGGTCAAGTTTCTTTATATGAAATTTCATCATATCATCTTTAATAAATACTACGTAATCCTTTCGACAAGAAAAGTGATAAATTATTGATTCCTTAAAAAATTTCAAGTACCGAACAAGAAATTACGGCGTATGTTGAAGCAGTCATGTGATTAGCGCGGGTACGACAAAACGCGTTTCAAACATATTTATTTAGGCAAATTAAAAAAGAAAATTAAATTTTACTACCTACATTATATAACGTAAAAAAACCAGCATCGATAAATCGTGAGAAATTAACAGATCAAATGAAGTAATCAAATAGTGTAATTTTACGGGTACGGTACCCAAAATCCACCAATCAAATAAATTCATTGCATATCGGGGAAGTTATGGTATAATTACGACAATTAAACTTTTTGTTATTGCAAATTGGCCAAAGTATTATTATCATATGTGATCATGTAACTATAGTATATAAAAATGGAGGGGAGTTTTTTTTTTAAAAAAATATTTAAAATGAAAAACAGTTACTCGTCTTAAATTGGATTTATTTTGTTTTATTTATTTATTTATTTCTACTTGGTTCACATTTTGAATACACGTTATGTAAGAAAAAGCGATCATTGTTTTTAGAATCCATTCTCAGATCATGTAAACGTTCCCATCGATTGTGACGTTATAATTTGTAAATTTAGTTGCATTGGTCAGCGTATTATGAAATCAATGCGCTTAAGATATTAATTTCAAAATAATATATAAAGAGCTTTTCATTTTGGATTACCTTGTGTATATATGTATATATTGAAAATTGTACCTATATATAAACTTGTTTGCAAGCATTTCAATCACTTACGGCGTTTTCTTTTCTTTGTTTAACTTTCTTTTAATCGATCTTTCAATAAACAAACGAAAAAAAAAAATATAAAAATATAAAAAAAAAATTAAAAAAATTAAAAAAATAAAAAGTAGTAAAAAAAAAAAAAAAATAATTAAATTTTTTTTATACAACATATTTCATCATGAACATAGATCTTGAAAATCATTTAATATACATTGTATGCAATCATGATGTTGTAATGACATCTTTCATAGTTTACTCTTTAAAGAGAAAACGGGCAAGTAACATTTGCCTTCTCGTTCCATTATCTAACAAAGAAGTAAGCAATTTAAAACTGTTTTGTTTAAAAAAAAAGATAAAAATCGCTAATTGGTTCCTTTTTTTCGTTATCAGTTTCAAAAATCAAACTTGGGAGTGCAGATGGTATCTGGAAAATGGTCAACGATTGAGGACTTTACAGAAATATTATCGACCAGTAAGTGATTAAATTCCCTATTCATTTCTGGTAAATAACGAACCGTTTAACAACGTTTTCATTTGTTTAGACGCAGTTATCGTTATAAGCATGTTATACCATGACTATGAATCTCAATGCAAATTATTCCAAGCTTGTATAATTCAACTAGTTTCCTTTTTTGTTACATGGGATTCGGGAATGGAATTGTAGGTATTTTCTGCTTCGTTATTTATGAAACATTTCAGTAATTAATTTATTTTGTGTTATTATATTGTTTAAAATATTCAGGGAAAATTTTGTACGAAATAGCTCATGTCCTAGGACCAGATTGCATCAACTATTGATTGATTATCATTATTCAGAATCAACCGATAAAATGAATTGGGTAATATTCCAAGTTGGAATATTTGATATAGAATCCATTCATTTTGATATATCAACAGTAACTTCGTCCTTCAATTCACCAAATCAATTCATTTTTTTGAATGTAACGGTAAAAGAAGATCTTGCGCTTCTAATCAGCGAGTCCATAATTAACCCGAAACTTGAGCCAAATCGTAATTATGTTGTTGGCGAATTCATTGCTCATACCTTCCTTGGGCATATTTATCAAGTCTTTAACAAGGGAGTGCAATTTGATTTGAACCTCCCAGCAAGTATTAATGAATTCGAAACAACGAATCAATTGCGACTATCGGGAATTATATCTGCTCGACCGCTTCCGCAGATAATATTTCCTAATCACAATTTGAATGTAAATAAATTATCGATGGAAATATCATTGCAATATGGTGCGAGTATTTATCATATTCTTTCGGACCATCGAAGGATCACCCTCAAAGAATGGGTATATGACAAACTGAGGCAAAGGTCATGATGATATATATTTTTTTTTTTTGTTAATCTCTATAACATTTATAACATTAGAGAAAATTACTTTTTTTTTTTTATTAATATAAGAGTTTTGACAATTTTTTATTTTAATTTTACTTTCCGTTACATCTCTTATATTTTACTATGCATTTTCCTCGTTTTTTTAAGTAACAAACCAAGTTTTGACTCATATTCTAACTCAACTATATTGTTAAATCAAATCAATTTACTTTTAGTCTTTACCATAGAAACATTTGGTAAAATGCTTCGATTTATTCTTTTTCAAAACTAATTACCATACAGATTTTTGTAAGCTATGATTTAATTTTTTTATTTTACTACACCTTTAAGTAAATACTTAAATATTATTCCTTATGTCTAAGCTAAAATATTATTGTCAATTATCTACCAATACTTGGTTTTGCAAATGACAAAATTTTTTATATTTCATTTAATCGTATTTTTGAATTTACTCGTTTGTTTTCTTTATTATTTTTTATCATAATTATCGTAATAAGTTTTTCTTTTTTTATTTTATTGTTTCCTTTATGTTTTTTTATTTTCTTTTATTTTATCATAATAAATTTTTACGTTCCAAAAAATTTTAAACGAATTGTGATCAATATAAAATTTTAAAATTTTCATGTCAATGCCCTCGGATCTACATTTTCATTGCTAAATGCAACAATGGTATTGTAACTAAATTTGGCATGTATTGTTTTTTATATACTAAGCGTAAAAGTTTATCATTACAAAGAAGGGGGTCGGTAATAGACCGATATATTCCCCGTTTACTAATCGTTCGCCACATCGATATTTTACTGGAAGCTACTATCGGACTCGAATTTTCCGGGAAAATATCAATATTTCGTAATACCTTGGATATATCATTTGAAAATCGTACTGGTAGTTACTTAATAATAAATTTATTTAATATTGCACGATTTTAAACATTAAAAGGATTTAATAATTATTAAAAAGTGTTTGTAACTATAAATACATATATTCTAATTAAAATAAAAGTTAACATTTTATATTGGCATTCACTAAACACTGGCGCCTTTTCTTTATTGTAGTTATTAGAAAGTTGTTGATAAATCTTGTGATTCAAGATTCGTAATTTGAGAATTTTGTAATGGTTGTATATTATAATCTTGAATTTGTTCAATAGATCCATTATCGGTGTTTGTTTTTAATTTGAGTTTCTTGATAATCTTGTATATTATAAATGGAAATAATATGTCGCAATGTATCCATTTTTTGTCGTTCATTTGTAACACTTCGATGCCCTGTGATGTTCATAATAACTTGCTCTTCTACATTTACATTTTGCATTAATGTCTTTCGCCCAGAATGTTAGTCAGTAAGCCATCAACCTCAATACCTGTTTTATGAGATCTTTCATAAATTATTTCGACCAATGTGTTGTTTACGATACCAGTTTCCAATTTCTTTCCCTATTAATTAGAAATTTTTGTAAATACTTTAAGAAATTAATATATAATTATATAGTAAACTTATCATTTTGGATTTGTCTGTAAATAAAAATCTGGTTATAAATCTAATAGCCTTTTTTTCAAAATACAATTGATAATCATAACATGGTCCTCTAGAATTAGGTAAATCAGCTGGAATTGGAATCTTTTGTGCTATACCACCCATTACCCCTTGTTGATTATTTATTGCACGAAATCTTTGAAAATCAATTTTCCCATCATCTCTAAAATTAAATTGAATAATTTTTAATTGATAGTGTGTTCACCATCCCAACAAGCTAAAAATAAGTGCATTGTGAAAAAATACTCTTTTTATAAGTGTATCTGGAGTTGATATTGAAGTTGCTGGATTCGATAAAATATTTGCAATATTTGTTGAATTAAAGCTGCAGACCCTTTTACTTCTCCAAATCCTTCTTGAAACATTTTTATTTTACCATCAAGAACTCTTATTAAAACAGGAAACTGATGATGATCACATAAATTAATCCCATGTATAATTGAAAATTCCATTAAATATCAATTAATTTTATCAACAGCTGTCTTATTGTTTATAGTAGCAATATAACCTGCCACTTGATTTTCTAGTATAGATATATTCAAAAATAAGATGCAATTAAATTTTATATTACTCTTGAATAAGAATCAATCATAACTTTTCAAAATGTTTAAGCCAAATTTTTTGTTGCTTTTTTTTGTATTTTGAACACATGATTTTTTTTTGATATTATGAAATTGCTTTCTCAATTTCAAGATTTTTATTATATATTAGGCTATAAATATAAATTATTTAATAACTTACAGGCAGTATTAAATTGTATATTTTTAATTAATTTTAGAGAAAGAGAAAAAATTTATAAAAAGTTGATTACTAATAAAAGTTTAATTTATTGTTAGTAATATGTAATCAATTATTACATAATTATTTTATCATAAACATTAGTCAATCATAAAATATATTGGTTATTTATCACTTAATTACTAATTTCACAGACTCTGCTATAATTTCTGATGATATCTCTAATTTCACAATAAATAATTATTATATATAACACTTTATTTTTTAATAATGCTATAAAAATTTCATATTAATTTTCATGTAATGAAGAGATTATCACATTCTTAAGAAAGAAAAATTAAATTTCTTTTTTTATATATAAAAATATATTGATTGTTCTTCAGAAAAATTATGTTATTATTTATATTAATTTATCACTAAATAATATATAAGAAAACAATAAAGTTTTACCAAAGATATTAATAATTATAGACAAACTAATTTTAAATTAGTTGTATAACTGAATTGATTCAGTTTAGTTTTAAGATTAAGAACTATGATAAATATCAGTTATTATTATATAATTCAATATAGTTAAACTAATAATAATGTTGATATCTTATTTAAAAGAATCTAAATAATAAAATTTGTATGATGGCTGTCACCTATAAACTGCACAAAAGTCATGTGACTTTAAAAATTTATAAATTAAAATTAAAACAATTTTGGGCAAATTTAACCGATAAAATTATAGATCAACACATGTTTAATACTTTTATTGGTTTATTTTTTTAAGAAATTATAAAATTTTCGGAGTTATTACAATTTAAAGTTTAAGAATTTTTCATATAACATATATTGTAAAATGGGAAATTTCGGACTAAGGATCAACGATATTTAAGTAAAATTTTCACATAAAATTTGGAATTTTGTCCACATTTTGATCAATTTTAACATCAATGACTCGTCTATTAAAGAGAAAATCTATGGTTAAAGAGCAAAGACAAGATAATAATGGAAAGTTTGCAAAGAAACTACGAGTTAATGATGATTGGGGAGATGAAAATGACAACGGATGAGACGAAATTGAATTACCAAACGAAGACGAAAATAAAAGTAAGTTAGTTTGGTCAAATAATGCATACCTGGAATAAAAGAAACGTGGATCTTACCTTACTGAAATAACTAAAAAATCAACTTATTTCGATAAATATGGGCCAAGTGGTTCTTTTACAAAAGCAGCAAAAGGAACCATGAATATTTTAACACTTATAAATAAACAAGCAACTTCAGATGATTTTGATGAAGTTTTGGATAATATGAAAAATGAATATGATGATCAGCTTAATATAAACGAAAGGATTAGAAGTTTGAGGATTGAACTTAAAGAAAACCAAAAAAAATTATCTGTGTCTAAATTCAACAAAAAACGAGCAATCTTTAAATATTTGAGAAGACTGGATGATGATAGAAAAGGTAAGGTAATAGCTAGTAAAGAAGCTGCACAATTAGTTTTCATTGAAAGTGCTCCCTATAAAGCATGAACTATTCATTATTGGGCCAATTATTAGCTCAAAAATAATCATCTTTCAATAAGCCATCAAGGTAAGCATCAAAAGACAATACAGCTAATAGATGATGAAGATATAGCAGAAGAATGTCATACTTGGATTCGTTCACAAGGTGGAAAAACCACTCTGCTAAAATTCAAAGCATTTATTAAAGAAAAATTGCTTGTTCATTCAGGAATCATGAAAAAAAAACCATCAGTACAGAAACCGCGACACGATGGCTCAATGTACTTGGATATTTTTTTCAGTCACAAAAGCAAGGTGAGTTATATTATAAATTACAAAATTCATTAAACTATTTATCATTACTAACATTACATGATGTTGTATAAGGCATATACTATAATGACCACGAGCGTCCTGACATTTTAAAATATCAGCAAACTTTTTTAAACGAAATCTATGGCTACGAGAAGTATATGGCAAAATACGAAGGTGAAAATATGGAACGGATACCGCTGACATTAGAAACTAGCGAAAAGGAAGTAATTCTCGTAACTCACGATGAGTGTATATTCTACTCCAATGACAGAAAGCAAGGCATATAGGCGAAGTCCAGAGAATTACCTTTACGTAAGAAGGGAAACAGGCATTCCATTATGGTTAGTGAATTTCTATCTGAAGAATGTGGTCAGCTTAAATTAAATCCACAGCAATGTCAAGAAAATCCTTCCATACCTGAAGATGCTCGAGCTTATCTTCAACCAGAAAAAGATCAGAAAGGATACTGGACGAGCGAACATCTAATCGAACAAGTGAAAACAAAGGCAATCCCAATTTTTGAAACTATTTTTCCAAACTGTATTGCCTTGTTTGCGTTTGATAATAGTTCAAACTATGCGGCGTTTAGATCTGATATACTCGTAGCAAGTAGGATGAACCTGAAACCTGGAGGCAAGCAACCAAAAATGAGAGACACGATTTTTGGATCAGATAATCGGCATTAAACAATGGTCAATGAAAATAATAAACCAAAAGGGATGAAGTGGGTTTTAGTTGAATGTGGTTTGTGGAAAAATGGGTTAAATGCCAATTGTCAGTTGTGTAAGGATAAGGTAAAAGATATAAATTGGACTGATTATTGCGCATGGAGAATCATTTCATTACAGCTGGATTTTTTATCCCAAAAAAATACGTTAAAGGAAGTAATAATAGAAGC